CTTCTTCTTCTTCTTCTTCTTCTTCTTCTTCTTCTTCTTCTTCTTCTCCTAATGTTTATTTATTTATTTTGAGAGACAGAGAGCATGATCAGGGGAGAGGCAGAGAGAAAGGGAGAGAGAATCCCAAGCGGGCTCTGTGCTAAGCAGCATAGAGCCTGACATGGAGCTCAATTTTATAAACTGTGAGATCATGACCTGAGTCCAAATCGACTTAATCAACTGAGCCACTCAGACACTCTATAACTTCTCCATTCTTAGTCCTCATTTTGATTCACCTCTCTTTTTTGTTTTTTAACATTTATTCATTCTTGAGAGTGAGACAGAGCATGAGCAGGGGAGGGGCAGAGAGAGAGGGAGACACAGAATCTGAAGTAGGCTCCAGGTTCTGAGCTGTCAGCACAGGGCCCGACGTGGGGCTCGAACTCACGGACTGCGAGATCATGACCTGAGCTGAAGTCAGACGCTTAACCGACTGAGCCACCCAGGCACCCCTGTGATTCATCTCTCTTTAAAAAATTTTTTTAACATTTATTTATTTTTGAGAGACAGAGCACGAGTGGGGAAGGAGCAGAGAGAGAGAGAGGGAGACACAGAATGCGAAGCAGGTTCCAGGCTCTGAGCTGTCAGCATGGAGCCTGAGGCAGGGCTCGAACTTGTGAACCACAAGATGATGACCTGAGCTGAAGTCCTGAAGTCGGATGCTTAACTGACTGAGCCACTCAGGCGCCCCTTGATTCATCTCTTCATTGGCTAAATTATCTCTTTAGCTTTTTTCAAGAAGATCGTATATACTTGAATATACATTTATGTGGCTTTTGCATATGAATGGCATCTCTGACAATATTTATTTTTTATTACCTTAAGAAGTTTTGTTTCTATGTCATGGCGCTGTCTTTCTATTCCTCCTCTCCTAAGGAAGTAATTCTTCTTCATTTTCTTTTTAAAAATTTCAGGTCGAATATATAAGCATTCTCAGCAACCTTTGATTACATATGAGAAACATAATGTGACAGACTATCCAAAGAATGTGGGAGGCTCCCGTTCTTTATTTCTTCTGAAGGCTCATGGTAAGTTACCTGTAGAGCATTATTATGTTTTGTGGAATAAATTTACCTGATGGCTCAGTGCTGGCTGGATTAGGAATGGTACTGAGCTTTATATATTTATTTATTTATTTATTTATTTATTTATTTATTTATTTATTTATTTTTAAATGTTTATTTATATTTGAGAGAAAGCATGAATGGGGGAGGGTCAGAGAGGGGGTAGACAGAGGATCCGAAGTGGGCTCTGCACTGACAACGGGGAGCCTGATGCGGAGCTGGAACCCATGAACCATGAGATCATGACCTGAGCTGAAGTTGGATGCTCAACCCACTGAGCCACCCAAGTGCCCCAGTAGTGGGCATAATTTAGCAAAATGTTCATAAGTCTTCTATGTTCAAATATTAACATTTGCAGGTAGCAGCGTCTATCTTAATGTTTGCAAATTTTTATTAAAAGTAGAGAGTAGGGATCATTCAGTGGTTTTAACCCTGGCTGCACTTTAAAATCACTAATGGAGCTTGTAAGACATCTATAATTTTTCAAGAGTGCCCTAGTTGTTTCTAACTGTAGCCAGAGTTAAGTATCACTGGGTTAATCAGTTTAATTTTTGTGAGACCTTAATTATGACATTTATTAAAATAAAGGCTTATAATAGAAGAGTGCTTTGTGATTTTGATTATTTAACAGTAGTTCAGTCTCAAAGATACAGTTTTGTTGAACTGATCAGTGTACAGAGTATTTGAGGGTATACAAATTACTCAGTGCTATACATAAATATTGTATACTTAAAATGATGAAATTAACTATGTTGGAAGAGCAGTCGTCTAAAAACAAGGCTCTGGTTCTACAGATAAAAGTTTATTCCATTTGAAAAGTAGCCTGTTTTATTTTCGAAAATATGGGAATTAAAAGTAGGGGAATAGTATAGTGTATACTATACTATTCTTCAATACTAGTATTGGGTGGGGGGATATTTCCTTATTTGGTATATTTCCTTTATATTCTTCAGTTATTCCTTCCAGTAGAGTTTCAATAAATGTCATCATAGTTAAGCTTGAAAATAACTTTATTATTGATAATTTGCTTCTAGTAGTAGCTCCAGTTTGACAGTAACGGGATTCACATGTAACATGCCTATTTGTTTTTCATTGTTTATTGGAATGAGAAGTGAGAAGGTGCTGAGATACCTGCAGAAGGGCTGTGTTAGTGTAATTGGTTAAGAGCACAGTTGCTGAAGCCAGAGTGGGTTTGAATCCCGACTTTGTAACCTTAGGTGTTACTTACTTAACTTCACTATTCTTTAGTTTCCCCAACCGGTAAAGGCGGAATACTAATTGTGACTACTTCATGGGATTGTTGTAAACATCAATTAGATTAATACACGTAAAGCTCTTAGTGCCTGGCACGCAGTAGGAGCTACAGAAGTTTCGCTATTAGGAGTAGTAGTGGTGGTGGTAAAACTATGATATATAGGGAGTTGTTGGGTTATGCTTACATTCACTGAATGTATTTTGTTCGCTGTTTTCTATGTTCTGAGCACTTGGCTTGGTCATGTAAGAAACAGCTTGGTTTGTGATGTCAAGCATTCTATTTTTTCACCCACAGGTGCTTTAATGTTTGTGGCATGGATGACTACTGTTAGCATAGGTGTGCTCATGGCTCGGTTCTTCAAATTTGTTTGGGCAAAGCCTGTTTTTGGTCAAGCAGCTTGGTTTCAGGTAGGTGGGAGAAAAAGCTTAATGCAATTTCCATATTCTTTAAACATTGCAACATGAAAACTTATGTAGTATGTTTCTTTTTCTTTCTTTCTTTCTTTTTTTTTTTGGTGGTTTACAGTTGTAGTTTTGGAATCCTAATAATTTCTTCATTTTGCCCTTTGATTTCCTAACCAACTGAAAATAGACATAAGATACTTGATGGAGGTCAAAATAGAGACAGCTTTATGAGGTTCGGGGTGGATTAGAGAATGTCTCGGGTCCATGTGCATTCATTCCTTTGTAACATAGACTTTGGGACACAAAAGATTCTGACTTACATGTCTGTTTGGCCAAGGGGAGAGCCTGGAAGAACGTTCACTTCCTGCACTGAGTATAGATGAGTCAAGGAGGATAGGAGAGCAGAAGAAAGAAATAGTGGGGGTTAATGCATTTCTAAGCAGGGATCTGTCCTGGTTGTTGCCAGTGAGTGGTTAGACTGTTCCTAGCTCACTAATCAAGATCATCTATCTCCTCTGTGTGTAGGAAGAGGAGCCAGAAGTGTTCCTTTTCATGCTGCACCTTTGCATGGGATGAGGAAGCAGTCTCCTAGTAGAAAGACAAGAGTCAGTAAGCACTCCTTAAAACAAAGGAAAACAAACTGTATCTTTCATGTGTCATGGAGTGTAGATAGTTGCACGTATAGTGGAATATTAGTAATTATGTGTTGAGCTAGAATGTACACATCTGCTTTTGAAAAAAATACTGCTTATTGAAACAGTTTTAACTTTATAAGGGGTATTCTTGAAACTTTATATTCATATGAATTTGTAGTGTTTAAAACTTTCCTCATCTAACCTCATTTCTCACTATTGGCTGGCAGAGTCAATCTGTTTTATTTGTCCTTACTACTGCTGTGTGCTTTGCTGCTGTCTGTCTCTGCCTTTGGCTTCTCTGTCTTTCTCTCTCTGCCTCTGTTTCTCTCTCATCTGTTCGTGTGGATATTCCCAACTGGAAAATTCTTTGTGTCTTTGCTTTACCAATTCAAATTCTCCACTGCTTTTAAAACTATGATGTGTATATATATGGTGTGATATGTAGAGTGATTATATGTCCTTTCCCTGGGATAGTTTTGGTTTGCACCATTTATCCTGGCATACTCAACTGTTACTCCACTCTCAATATTCTCAGGATTTAGACAATGAATTGACACTTCATATATGTTTCTCTGATCTACTCAGTTGTTTCCTAAGCTCCTTGGGAGACAGCTCTGTTTCCTTGCTGTCTCATTGTATCTGGTAGAGCACTGTGCTTGGTGGTGGTACTTAATAAAGGAAGGAAATGAAGGACTTGGCAAGTAGGTGTGCTCTGTGTGTGAAATATCCATTCCTGCTGCTCGTGCTGGTGAAGTCTTCGCAAATGCTTTGGAACGATGGGCATGGCAGCTTAGAATTTTCTTTAAAGTTCATTTAGTAAAATATTTTAAAACTCACTGCAAACTGTGATTAGATGTCAGTCAAATGCATGCCTTCAGGGAATCTTGCCCCATGATTTTTTCCCCACACTTATGCCAACTACTTTCACTTACATGGTTGACTGTCTTCTCATGGTGTCATTTCACCCTTGCAGGTACATCGGACGCTCATGCTCACTACTACTGCCCTCACCTGCATTGCTTTTGTTCTGCCTTTTATTTACAGAAGAGGCTGGAGTTGGGTAAGTATCTCTTCAGCAGGATTTTTTTTTTAATATAAATTCATTTTGATGACCAAGGAGATTGCTGTTTTATACTCACATGGATGGGTAAAAAGATATTTCTGCATACATCTCTCTTCTTTCCTTTTTTAATCATCTGGTGACAATTCCAGATGGCTGGGGGTCAGGGACAGAGCGAGGATGTTGTTGTGGATAACTGGGTAATGAAATATATTTTTAGGCTACATCAAATGTTACATATACTCTACATAGCTTGGGTGAATTGTCTCACTGTGGAGTGGTGAAAATTCAAAGTGTGATATCTAAGGAATGTGAACACTGTAAGTGGTTTTCTCTAACTCACACTATGATTACCACTAAGCTAACATGAGAGCCAGGATATTTACTGGTATGTTCACTGGTGTATCTTAAGCACCCAGAGCAGATTCTGGTACATAGTAGGTCTTCAGTAATTATTGAATGAAGGGGTAAGGCTTATTGAAAACAAGCGATGTACCCAAGGTCAGAACCTGTGCTCTTTTGTAAAACTTTTCCAGTTTTACAGCCAGTCAGAATTCAATATCAAAATTCAATACAGTAAAACCTTGGACTGTGAGTAACTCATTCTGTGAGTGTTCTGTAAGACAAGTAGACATTTCTAATAAATTTTAACTTCACAAATGTGCGATGTCTTGTAATACAAGTAGCACCTGATGCTGAATGTCACATGATCACCACTGAGCCAATGATTCTTGAAATTCGCTTTGATATACAAGTGCTTTGGATTACAAGCCTGTTTCTGGAACAAATTATGTTCTCAAACCAAGGTTTTACTGTATTTCACTTTGGGCTGTTGCCGTAAGGGCAAGACTGATGAATCTTGGGTCACTAAGAAACCTCCCTCCTGCTTTTTAGGTAGTTTCTAGATTGGCCGACCTATTTTTTTTTTTTTAATTTTTTTTTTAACGTTTATTAATTTTTGAGACAGAGAGAGACAAAGCATGAATGGGGGAGGGTCAGAGAGAGAGGGAGACACAGAATCCGAAACAGGCTCCAGGCTCTGAGCAGTCAGCACAGAACCCGACGCGGGGCTCGAACTCATGGACCGCGAGATCGTGACCTGAGCCAAAGTCAGACGCTTAACCGACGGAGCCACCCAGGCGCCCCGGCCGACCTATTTTTTAAAGGAAATTATGAAGATTTTCTGATATGAACTTTATTTTATTCAGGTATTTGGGTCAAGGGTTAATACTTATTATATAAACTCTGTAGTTTGCACTCTTTGCAGTTTATGATTAGGATAGTATAAAGGGAATAGTATAGTAGCAACGTCACAGGCTTTCTGAGAATTGAGAGTTAAATAGCTGAAAGTACTTAGGCTAGTTTCCTGTGTATTCTAAGCAAATACAAGAATTTTGTGGCAGTTGTTACTGTTGTTTTATGAGATAGAGGCACTCTCCTTCTCCATGGTCCTGGTTATCATTTTATCTGTGTATAACTGAGTCCATGACTTGAAAGTGTTTTTCTAATGTTCTTTTGTCAGCTTATTGTTCCTGTTTACCAAAGCTTCCTATCATGGCTTGGAAACCACTATATCCTTCTTCTAGATCACAGATTTTAGAGTCTACCCAAGCACGGCAGTCAGTGACAACAGACTGTAATATTCCCCCATCTAAACATGTCACAGGTTAGAGCATCTCCTTAGTCCCTCTCTTAAGTTTTTAAGTGGAAAAATTGTGCTAATTGCTAAATGTGCTAAAACTGTTTGCTCTTTTGAGCAGACATACAGCATCTCTAAGAGAGGGGTGGAGCCGAAACTGTTGAGATACTTTGTTGATGGTCTTTTCTCGGGTTAGACCTTCATTCTGAACAGAGGAGATAAGATTTTTTTTTTTTTTATTTATATATGAAATTTATTGTCAAATTGTTTTCCATACAACACCCAGTGCTCATCCCAAAAGGTGCCCTCCTCAATACCCATCACCCACCCTCTCCTCCCTCCCACCCCCCATCAACCCTTAGTTTGTTCTCAGTTCTCAACAGTCTCTTATGCTTTGGCTCTCTCCCACTCTAACCTCTTTTTTTTTTTCCTTCCCCTCCCCCATGGGTTCCTGTTAAGTTTCGAGGAGATAAGATTTTAATGCAGTGGCTATACAGGCTATTCATTTAATCAATATTCATTGAGTGACTAAGGTTCTATTAAGCACTTGAGTTATAAGGAATCATATATAGAACCTTTATCTCAGGAAAACACAGAGGTCTGAACAAATAATTACCATACATTGGGATGATTGCTCCTGACATGAGGATACTAACTAGTCCTGGGTAGGGTGTACTGGTCTGGTGTTGGTGATCACCTAACATCCTAATGAGGGAGAGGCAGCGCTCTGCATGGCTGCCACCACCACCATTTACACACTGTGTGGCATTGGACACATTGCTTGATATCTCTAAGTTTCGGTTCCTCATTTTAGAAATGGGATATTGATCATATGACTTCACTCATATGAGGACCTTAAGATGTAAAACAGATGAACATAAGGGAAGGGAAGCAAAAATAATATAAAAACAGGGAGGGGGACAAAACACAAGAGACTCTTAAATATGGAGAACAAACAAAGGGTTGCTGGAGGGGTTGTGGGAGGGGGGGATGGGCTAAATGGGTAAGGGGCACTAAGGAATCTACTCCTGAAATCATTGTTGCACTATATGCTAATGAACTTGGATGTAAATTAAAAAAATAAATTAAATAAAAAAATTAAAAAAAATAAAGGTGGGATATTGATAACTGTCAAGCATTGTAGTGAGCATTAGTAATAATGTCTATCCAGTATGTGCTTGGTATAAAGTAGGCACTCAGTGAATGGTACCTATTATTAATAATAAATGTTTAAAGCTACAGAAAAACACTAAGAGTACATCTGTGTGTATTATTTTTAACATGAGGATTTAAACTGATGGGCGAGGGGCGCCTGGGTGGCGCAGTCGGTTAAGCGTCCGACTTCAGCCAGGTCACGATCTCGCAGTCCGTGGGTTTGAGCCCCGCGTCAGGCTCTGGGCTGATGGCTCAGAGCCTGGACCCTGTTTCTGATTCTGTGTCTCCCTCTCTCTCTGCCCCTCCCCCGTTCATGCTCTGTCTCTCTCTGTCCCCCAAAAAATAAATAAACGTTAAAAAAAAAATTTTAAACTGATGGGCGAGATCGAGATTATTGAAATGATGTAACTTTGTTCAGTATGCAGGTTATCACCCATACCTTGGCTGTATAGTGATGGTTTTAGCAGTTCTTCAGACTCTTCTGGCAGCTTTCAGGCCACCTTTATATGACCCCAGGTACTTATAGCTTTTTAAATTTTTTTTAAATGTTTATTTATTTAGTTTGAGAGAGAGAGAGAGAGAGAGAGAGAGAGAGAGAGAGAGAGAGAACATGCACATGCACATGGGAGAGGAGCAGAAAGGGAGAGAGAGAATCCCAAGCAGGCTCCATGCTGTCAGCATAGAGCCTGATGCGGGGCTCGATCTCATGAACCACAGGTGAGATCATGACCTGAGCTGAAATCAAGAGTTAGACACTTAACAGACTGAGCCACTCAGGCACCCTGAGTACTTATCGCTTTTATATATAAATGGCCTTAACATTATTTGGCAAACTAATTCCTTTTTAAGTGAAAATCCTTTGCACTTTATGAAATTCAGTGATAAATTATATTTACTTTAAAAGGTTTTAAAGCGTATTTCAGATATCTAATTCTCAGGTGCATGCTTTTTATTCTCCTTGGAATTAATTGTAGTTCTGTCTCTTTTGAGAATACTGATTGGTTCTTTATTTGGTAGAAGGCAAATGTTTAACTGGACGCACTGGAGTATGGGAACAGCTGCTAGAATAATAGCAGGTAAGTAATTGTGATGCCACTTATTCATACATAATTGCTGGTTGTTTATATTGCAAGTTGTAATTTGGATTAAATGATTTTTAGATGTATTGGTAATTCGAGTAATTGGTTGTTGAGGGGAAATCAACCTTAAACATTGAAATCCAGAAAGTAATTTCTAGAGGTAACTATTTAAGTTGTTATTTCAGTTTTAAGTTTAAGGTTTTTAAAATTGCTTTAAAACTTTCCTTCTAAGACTTTTTTTTTAGCATTTGCCTTTGCCAGCAGAATAAGCAAGCTATGCTAATGGCCAAATGCTCAAGTTGAGGGTCATTTGTGAGTTGGGCTGAGGTGGGCTGTCTGCAGGTCTTTTCCATGGGGATGGTACCTTCCAGGGAAGGAGATGGTCAAAAGTCAAGCACAGTTATCCAGTATATTTTTACGTGTTATATAATAAATTCCTAAACTGACATCTCCTACTCTCACATTTCTGTAGTCTTTGGGGGTTCTTCATGGAGGGAGGAGTATAGTTAGCAATGATTTCCATACTTTTCTCCCTTCCAACATTGCAGACTTAAAGCTTTTTGGAAAGTTTGAGTGTCTCTTTTTAAACAATTGGTGGATCATGATTATAATTTCCCATCTGACCGTTTCTAGTCTTACAATAAAAAAAGATTAAATTAACTATTTGGTCTTAAATATTAATCTAATTCATCTCATAAACTCTTACTGTGTTTTAGTTGATATAGTTCACACACGTACACACATAATTATCTCTCTTGGTGGTGACTACATTTGAATATATATATTTTTCTTCTAAATGTAGTGGCAGCAATGTTCCTGGGAATGGATTTACCAGGACTGAACCTTCCTGGCCCATGGAAAACCTATGCAATGACTGGATTTGTAGCCTGGCATGTTGGGACTGAAATTGTCCTGGAGATACATGCTTACCGACTTTCCCGAAAAGGTAGCCTGCTCAAAAAGCCATGTTACGTAGAATCACTTTTATACAAACTCTTGGAATGTAATTAGTTTCTAGATACTAGTGGTTGAAGCTTACATGATAGCTCACTGAAAATGTCTGTGGTGATTAGTCAGTGTTAGAACTCGTGGAAATATTCTGTCTTTGTGTTTTATACTCATTAGTATTAGAATTTGTGAGTAAAAAGGGGAACGATTTTAGGTTTTGGGGAAGAAGTCTTTTTTCAGTAAGTACTTTTTATTTTGATGCTGGTCTGAAGGCAGTACACACTGAGGTTGCTGAATGCGTGGAGCTGAGGGAACCCAGAAACGGAGGAAGAAGAGCTGCCCAAAGTCAACAGAGGGCAAAGCTGCAGACAGATTTTACCTATTTGATAAATGTGCTGTGTGCTATCACTTAGGTTTTCAATATACATAATTTATAGCTGCCTACTAGGCAGGCTAGATAGGAAGAACTTACTTTGCCCAAGCTTTCTGGTGGCAAGGTCCATTTTGGTTTTGGTGCCAAAGATATCTGTAGCCATTAGGAATCAAGATACCTATAGCCATTAGGAGTGGACAAATTAGTAGAGAGTGGGTGGTGACATTCTTTAAAAAATTTTTTTATTGTTTTTTATTTTTTGAGAGAGAGAAAGCAAGCTGGGGAGGGGCAGAGAGAGAGAGAGAGAGAGAGAGAGAGAGAGAGAGAGAGAATCAGAAGCAGGCTCCAGGCTCTGAGCTGTCAGCACAGAGCCCGACGTGGGCTCAAAATCTCAAACTGTGAGATCATGACCTGAGCCAAAGTCAGAGGCTTAACTGACTGAGCCACTCAGGCACCCCGAGAGTGGGTGACATTTTAAACTAGCTTGGTTTCTGGGCTGTGTCCTTTGTATCTTATTTAGTTTCCAACCCCCGAAATGGTAAGTAAAGGTAGCCTTCTAAAAACAAAACCTCTTTGTTGTGAATCTAGGAGCTTTTCAGAGCCGAGTAGTAAAAATCTATCCTGCCATTTTTGGTCCTTGATAGGGTCACATAGATGGGGTTTTTGATGACTACTGAATTATGGTGTGCTGTTTAAAATACATATATACTTAAAATGTGGTTTGTTAAGACACTGATATGGTGTTTATTGACCAGAAGAGGCATGTTTTAAGTCCCTTGACAAATGTGTGCTGTAGCCAGTCTGTCCCAATTTGTGAGAGCCTTATATATTCAGGAAGTTTGTAACGCTTAGTAGCTTGAAATGGGAGAATATATACCCTGGAAATCAGCAAATGCTACACATCACTTTTTTTTTTTTTTTTGAGAATTAGTTTATTGGCATACTCACTGGCCTCATAAACTTATGTTGTTGTTCTTGACAGTTGAAATATTGGATGATGCCAGAATTCAGATCCTTCAGTCATTTACTGTAGCTGAAGCGGAAGTAAGTATCCTTTTCTTACTTATTGACACAAACCTTAATGATAGTCGTTTCTTTCTTTCATATCTCAATTTTTCTTTCAGGGACATGCTTTTAAAAAGGTGGCGTTAGCAGTTTATATCTGTGGGAATGTGACTTTTCTCATCATATTCTTATCTGCAATCAATCATCTATGAGCAAGCAAAGACCTTGGCTTTGCAGACCAGATGATAATTATCATTAAGCCAAAGAAACTTGAAGCCTGTACCGACTGCCTGGAACGTATTCATGAATTCTAATTTGGAAGACCAGGCCATGTCTGTAGAGGAATTCCGAAGTATGGTCCTTAGGGATCAGCTTTCAGCAGGGTCCTATGGATTCGAAAAAGGATATCAAGCCTTTATGTGTGATTCTGAGTGTTACCAAGGAAGGTTGTACTTGAGGAGAAGTGATTATCAAATATTTTCTATGATGAGATTTTTAGAATGTTAGCATTTAAGAAAATAACTGTTTGGAAAAGCAGAAATGATGTCATTTGGATGAAATGGGGATTCTATTAAGGTACATGTATTTTGGGCTATAAAGGTACTGTGGTACTTTAAAGAAACCATCTATACTTTTTATCAGGATGGTTTTTCTTAGGACTTTTTGTGAAACTATGTTTTCCAGTACAGTGTTTTGGACATGTCCTTTTTTCTGTGTGTTCTGTTACTTCTCTGGTAAAGGTGGAGGTGGGGTTAACATTGTATTCACATTTAATTATATGTGAATATTATAGTTTCTTTCTTAGTGATGAAAAGCAAGTATGCATCTTCTGCTTAAGACTGTATTTATATGGGCGCCTGGGTGGCTCATTTGGTTAAGCCTCCGACTCTTGATTTTAGCTCAGGTCATGATCTCATGGTTCGTGAGTTTGAGCCCCACACTGGGCCCTGTGCTAACAGCGCTGAGCCTGCTTGGGATTCTCTCTCCTTTTCTCTCTGCCTCTCCTCTGTGCTGCTTGTGCTCTCTCTCTCAAAATAAATAAACATTTAGTAAAAATGCTGTATTTATATATTCAGTAAAATGATATTTTATATGTGAATTGTTTTGAGTGTAAGATTCAAGTCCTAGCTTTTGGAGATTGTAGACTTGCATTTCAAAATTAATAAAATTTACCCTTGTAAATATATTTAAGAGCTACTCTCTTTGTGGTAATAAATAATATGGGTGGATCTTTTTTGTTAGAAGTTCCTGATGCTGTAATGAATTAGAACGTCAGTGTTGTTTTCCTTCCTACTCTAATCTCTTTTTTTAGTGGCTGGGTTTCCTATTTGCTACGAGGACTTCTAACCAGTGGGTGGCACCATAATACCAAAGTACTGCTTTGTTTCTATTTCATTGTGCTGTCACTCATTTCTAGTACTTGGATAATACCATGGAGTGGCATTTCCCTTAATTCCGCCAACTCTTAATTTGTATTTGAAAAGTTTCTGCCTTTTTTTTGGTGGGGTAAGGGGTTTGGGGTTGTGAGTTAGAAACTGAAATTAGGGACTGTTATTATTTTTCCTGGTTACATTTCTGTTTGTTTTCTAATCATGATTATTTGTAACAATTGCTTGATAGTTCCCTTTACATTCATCTGACTCTGTAACAAATGAATATAACTATTTTAATCAGAGGAAATAAACAAAACTGGACATTGCAAAAAGAAGCTTAGGAAGGCATATTTTATCTTTTAGGCATTCTTTCTGATTGTTATAGTTTCTGCTTGGTCTGAGGACCTAATTTGTATTTGGTGTTAATAATAGCCTTAGCTGTGTATCCTATTGTATCCTACATCTTTTATGGGGTAAAATGATATGGAAGTTTTATTTTTGTTCCTTATGTAAGTGTTTATCATAAATAGCCTGGGGTTGAGATGTGAATCTTCTGTGTTCATGGTCTGTGCCAGGCTACTTACAGTTTCAATTTTTTTTAAATAGTTTCATTAATTTTTTTTAGTATAGGAAACTGTATACTAAAATATTTTCCTCCAGTTTTCAATTATAAGGTTAATAAATTTTAATACAAGTTTCTTTGTACATGACAAAGAAAAATTCTTTTAAGGGGAAAATGAACCTGTTGTGTTTGGTTTTCAAGTATATGGACTTACTGAATTTCCAGCACCGAGGTTAAGATATTTTAACTTTTTCTTTTTAACTGGTTCATCTTTTCGCACTATTTTGATATATCATCAATTAACATGTAGAATTTTCCAAAAAGTCTTTAATCTTGATAGATGCCATTTTATTAATACCAAATTATGATTTTTCTGTTTATGAATTGTTAATATCCACAGATTGAAAAATGCCTATTCTTCACTCCTGTCATCATTTCTTCTTGTTTTTGTAATAAAGTTTTTTTTAACTTCCTTTGCTAGGAGTGATTGTTAAACTAAATGCCTTTAGGTCTTCATCAGTGTTGCTGCTGAAGTTATGATCAAAATCAAAACTTTTAAGGGTGTCTGAGTGGCCCAGTTGTTAAGAGCTTAAGCGTTGAACTCTTGATTTCGGCATAGGTCATGAACTCTCACAGTCTTGAGATCATATGGCTCGTGCTGGGTGTGGAGCCTGCTTAAGATTCTCTCTCTTGCGCACCTGGGAGGCTTAGTTGGTTAAGCGTCAGACTTCTTGGCTCAAGTCATGATGCCCCGGTCTGTCCGTTTAAGCCCTGCATTGGGTGAGCTTGTGCCCCACTTCTAGTGAGCACGAGCCCTGCTTCCAGTGAGAGCACGAGCACACTTCGGTTGAGCGGGAGCCCTGCTGTGGCTGAGCATGAGCCCCACCGCTTTGGTTGAGCGGGAGTCCTGCTTCCAGTGAGAGCACGAGCCCCGCTTCGGTTGAGCGGAAGCCCTGCTGCGGGTGAGCACGAGCCCTGCTTCCAGTGAGCACGAGCCCTGCTTCGGTTGAGCGGGAGCCCTGCTGCGGGTGAGCACGAGCCCTGCTTCCGGTGAGCACGAGCCCCGCTTCCAGTGAAAGCACGAGCCCCGCTTCGGTTGAGCGGAAGCCCTGCTGCGGGTGAGCACGAACCCTGCTTCCAGTGAGCACGAGCCCCGCTTTGGTTGAGCGGGAGCCCTGCTGCGGGTGAGCACGAGCCCTGCTTCCGGTGAGCACGAGCCCCGCTTCGGTTGAGCGGAAGCCCTGCTGCGGGTGAGCACGAGCCCTGCTTCGGTTGAGCGGGAGCCCTGCTGCGGGTGAGCACGAGCCCTGCTTCCGG